CTCCATAATAAAATACCGTAGAAGTAAAAATTTTGTACACTGATGCGACTGCCAAGGATGCTGTCCGAGCTGAGCTGCTCAACGCCGGGCTGGCTGAGTGCCACCGGACTGAGAGGGGAAATCAAGCGGGCAGGCCTGCAGAAAAAGAACACCGGCGGGACTGGAGTCCCCGGAATAGCTCTGACGGTCAAGTCAGTAGAGCTTAGGAAATAGGATAACAGTGTATAGTACTGTAGATAGCGTATCTTGAGTTGTCAAGAAGTGCTATATTTATAGGCTTAACGAGTAGTAGTTTCCATGTAGATGTGAGTGTCCCCTTAGGTTCGGAGTCCCCCTAGGGTTTTGTACGATGGCCCCTTAGGGTTCGGAGGCGGCGGCCAAGACCGGGCTGTCTTCCCTTATTTCAAGCTGATACGCCCGGACTGCGGGATCTCAAGTGCCGACTTGGTACGCCGAGCTGACACGTGTCATGCGTGGGTTTGCCCCACTACATACACCCTTTTTTGACCCCATACCCGGATTCGGTCCCCATTCAGCAGTGTCAATGAGTGTGTTTGGATTGTAAGTTATTTGCCCAAATATATTTGCTTATATCACCATTACAATTTCCAATATACCTTTTTATCTTTTCAATTATCTTTTTATCTCACATATATTACATCACAAAAAATGCTACAGTAAAAATATCTCAAATAACTTACAATCCAAACACACTCATAGCCCATAGGGACCACTCCCTCCAATCAGGCGCAACCATAACCACTGCTACAACCCGCCCAACTCTTATCTTCGGATAATGTAATTACTATATATACACCCGCCTTTCATTGCCATCTCCGCCCTCCAAATCACCCAGCAAAAAACCAGCAGCAAATCTCCTCCTTTTGCAGACCAAACCCTCCCCTTCCTGCCTTGCTTCTACAGCTAGCCAACCGAGCGGGATATAGTTTAATCGATTGAATCTCTGCAATCGCTATCAACCACCCCCTGGAGGCTGGAAACAAAGGTGTGTTAATGCGATTTGGTAATTGCAGGTTTGATAGGTGCAGGGGTAAGACCCAGGATTAAACGAGTTGCAGACATCACGGCTATACACAGAGCTTTCCGCCCTCTCATACATGTCCGAACAGTACGACGCAAGGGTTGTCTAAGCGAGAGCAACAACCCTTCGCCGCACGGCGGACGAGGCGCCTTGCCCTCTGAAGGCGGCAGCCCTTCCGACCTCCTCTTCCTCGCCGGCGGCGGTCATTAAGTTTTTTATTAGGTCTAATTTATATAGCAGTATTTTAAAGTTAAAATTGATTTTTCGCACTACTAAAATTATACTTTCACCGCTCAAGTGTTTAAGTACGCCGAATTCTGTTACCAACAAAGAATCTCTGCTTTTGATTGGTTTCATTGACTTTTAATTGCTGCCCTGTGGGAAATTTGAAAACTTGTATGAAAAATGCTGAGAATTAAGAGGGTTCCTACTGTCGTTTCCAACTACCAAAAGGAAGAGGCGGAGGAAGGTGCTGCTCGCCAAGGAGGGGGGTGCGGCCGAAATTGCCTCAAGAACTGTTGCCTTCCAGGTACTTGATCAATTGTTGCACCGTGATTATTAAATTTCTTGTTTTATATGTTCGTGTTTCTGGGGCTGAAGTGTAGTATTTGGTTCTGTCTGTTGATTGGACACTAGGCGCAAAGCTGCCTTTGTATCGTTTTAAGAGGTTGAACGAAGTTGCTAATGAGAAGGATGGCCTTAGCTGTGAGAACAAAGAACCTCCGGTTCCTTTCCTGGAATCTCTCCTGCTCGGGGAGGTATATTTCGTAAGAATGCTAGGGTATTAAATTAAACTCTTATTTTTACATATGCGTGCTGAGAGTAGCAATTTGACTGTAGTGGGAGGGTCGGATGCAAAGAGGGCTCTTTCGCTATGATGTTACTGCCTGTGAAACCAAGGTTTTTGCTTTCTCCCTTTTTACTATCTATTATCTGTTTGGTTTTGAGGCTCTAAAATGTCTTGCTCGAGAATCCTATATGACATTGATGCAAACAACGAATGTTGGAATAGGTGATTCCTGGTGAATATGGCTTTATTGCTCAGCTGAATGAGGGCAGGCACCTTAAGAAGAGGCCCACTGAGTTTCGAGTTGATAAGGTTTTGCAGCCCTTTGATGAGACCAAATTCAACTTTACTAAAGTTGGGCAGGAAGAGATCCTCTTTCAGTTTGAGCCGGGCGATGAAGTCCAGTTCTTGCCAAGTGCACTCATTGATACTGAGAACTCACCAAGTGTTGTTGCCATAAACGTTTGTTACTTTACCTTTCATGGTCATTGTAATTGATTTTTGTTAGAATTTCATCTGTTTTTAGCTGAATTCGTCCTGTTTAATTAACAGGTCAGTCCTATTGAGTATGGACATGTGCTGTTAATCCCTCAAATTCTCGATTGCTTGCCTCAGAGCATTGACCATGATAGCTTGTTGCTTGCTCTGTACATGGCTGCAGAGGCTCGAAGCCCATACTTCCGATTGGGTTACAACAGCTTGGGTGCATTTGCCACCATCAACCATCTTCATTTCCAGGTTCCAATCTGCCATCTACATGGTGTACCGTTAAGCTCTGCTAATTTGATTTCATAGTTGGAAAGTTCTCTATAACGAATTCTGGACTAAGTAATTTGTTTTTCTAATTAAAGGCCTACTACCTGGCTGTGCCATTTCCCATTGAGAAGGCTCCCTCTAAGAAGATCACCACCACAAAAGGTGGGGTGCAACTCTCAGAACTTCTGAAATATCCAGTCAGGGGTCTTGTGTTTGAGGGTGGAAATACTCTCAAGGATTTGTCCAATGTTGTCGCTGACTCCTGCATCTGCCTTCAAGAAACTAATGTCCCTTACAATGTTCTTATCTCGGATTCTGGAAAAAGAATTTTCCTGTTCCCACAGGTAAGCATTTCCGGTTATGTATTTTCTCATGGTGACCTTGCACGTCGTGAGTGTTACTTGTACTCCTGCTTACTGGTTTATTTTGTTTGGCTGTAACATCTGACCTCTTTCTTGTTGGATGGAATTGATAGTGCTATGCTGAGAAACAAGCTCTTGGAGAAGTAAGCGCTGAGCTACTTGACACACAAGTTAACCCAGCAGTTTGGGAGATTAGTGGGCATATGGTGCTGAAACAGAAGAAAGATTATGAGGAGGCATCTGAGGAAAATGCTTGGAGGCTCTTAGCTGAGGTATCCCTTTCTGAAGAGAGGTTCCAAGAAGTGAAGGCTCTGATCTTTGAAGCCATTTCTTCTAGCATTGAGGAAATCGACAGTGTGAATCCAAGCGTCCTTGAGAAGCCAGATGTCACACATCAGCCTCTTGAGGATGTTGATACCCTCAACAAAGGGTCTCAGCGAACAATGGTGTCTGTGTAAGCATGCTTGGTTCCTGCTGAGCATTGGCCGATACATTTTAGATTGGATATGTGGACCATATGGTGTCTGTTGTCATACTAATGAAGGTCATTACAGGAATTGGCCTTTCCTTGGTTGACATGCCTTGAATAATGCAACTAGGTTTGTGGGATTGGATAATGTATGTTTACTGCGTATGATTGGCTTTGCAAACCTGAGTTCTATGATGCGAGTCATGTAAAACATTTTAGATTGGATATGGTGTCTGTTGTCGTACTAATGAAGGTCAGAGTAAGTACAGGATTGGCCTTTCCTCGTGCCTTGAATAATGCAACTAGGTTTGCTGGATTGTTAGGGTTGTTGCTTGTATGTTTACTGTGTATTATTGGCTTTGCAAACCTGAGATCTGTAATGGGAGTCATGTAGAATATTTTGATGTTTGTAATGGATGCTTGTTCCTAAAATCTCTTCTAATCTCATAAGAGGCAAAATTTACTTGTGTTTGGTTGGCAGAGCTGATATGCTTCTGATTCAACAAAGCAGGATTCCACCTTCTGCAAAAAATGCAGGTTTTTGAACTCAAATCAGATAGGGTTTATGTATGATGCGAAACTTTGATCAGGGCATTATGATTTTCATTCCAAACGGCAATTCTCATGCTACGGAAGGAGTTAAATTGTATACTGTAGTATACTAATTGGAAGGCATGCTGCTTTAGTAGCCTCTGTGTTGGGAAAACTTGCCAATAGTTTGCCAAGGCTTAAGGAGTCAGAATCAGAGAAAAAGGCCGAAAGTTTGATCCATCTCTTTTCAGGTGACAGCATGGGGAGACGAGTAGCTATGTAGCACCGAACCATGACAAACTTCCAATTAATTGCGGATAATCTGGACAATTAACTAAAGTAATTAGCATCGGCTGATGATGAGATGCAGTAGTTCAACAAATGAACCAATAGGCTTTCACCTAATTTAAGATGGAAATCGATTGGAGATACCGGAAGGTGTCTAAGCTGTTTGTTTATAAGATGGCAAACGATGAACTAAGTTTGAAGTGGCTTGTTAATTAGAGGGGAAGTAAATTGTGTTTGTTGAAGGATGTTGTCTTGATGTGGTACTGGGGCAAAATAAGGCGGAAAACGCCTCGCAACACATATTCTATTAACCAAAAAAAAAAAAACTTAGTACCAAATAATCAATTGATTGAAAAGGTTAAAAATGTTTGATTTGAAAAGGCATAATGTATATTTACATCCGCTTAGTTTTTTTTTTTTTTTCGGACATCCGCTTAGTTACTCATTTAAATTTTGAACGGTGGTGTTTATTAGTAATTCTTTGCCCATTCACATCACATGAACCTAACTTTTATTTTTGTTTTCTGTGGTCAAAACGGTAAAAATGTCATTTCCATCACCCACAAAACCATCTGGACCAATGTGCAACATATGAGAGCTAAAGAGCTTAAACAAACTAACAAGAGTTTAAGCATAATAGAAGAGTTTCGTTAGAGGAAACAAACTTGAAATTATTTTATAAAAATGTAACATTTAATAAATGTGCTTTTTAGTTTTAACAAAATATTATAGTTAAATCATTCAAAGATAAATAGTATGGGCACATTGGAGAAGCACTTGCAGGGCATTATATTTACTTTACGGGGAAGCAAAAAAGTTAGTGCTAGTCTCTCTGGTTCCTTCATATTCTGCAGTCTCCCACCCTCAAGCCTCTTCTTCTCATAAACGAAAGCGAAGACGCACCTCCACAAAACTCTCGTCCAAGCCATTGCGCTAGGAGCAATTTGGGTTTCGAGGTAACGCCCACTGCCCTTCTTTCCAAATTTATCCCTCATTATAATCCGACATTCGCATCAATATATTCACCTGGAGGGAAGGCCATGCCTGCTTATGGTCATTGTAACTGTCTCTACTTGTTTGATAAAATGCCCAAGAGAAGTACTCGAGTAAGGTTAGTTAAGAATGATCGTGTGAGGTCAAAAAGAGAAAGGGGATTGTGACGTAAATCATCATGTTGTAATTTGTTTCACTGTGAACTATACTTCTCTTATTACTCGTTGCCTGGGAATAATTTCTTTCTTTCCTTCTTTTCCTCTCCTAGCTGTAAGTCTGTGCCACGCTGGGTGTCTCTTCCGAAGAATTACTTGTTGCTCTGGTTGCTTACTTGTTTAGTTAGGGAATATATGTTTTAGGAGAACTAGGAAAGGAAAAGATTTTTTTTTTTTTTTTTTTTTTGGCTCTGTGTTTGGATTAAGCAGCTTGAGAGTTTCATTTTTTTCTAGCACATCTTAAACGTATCCATTCATATTTTCGTGAGCCTAAGTTTATATCTTTCTGAATCCTGTTTTTGATAGTAAATTGCTGGTAATTTTGCCTAATTTGGATTGTATTAGGAGAAGATGAAAAAAGGAATTCATCCACAGCGTCAATGGATTTCCTACGTAACCCAGAGTGGGCGATTGATCAACGTTATGATGACAAAAATACACCAAGTTGTTAAAGTCTATCACATAAGGGGTAGACAGGAGAGGACCGAAGGCATTGGCCAGATTGCAAAATTTAAGCGTCGTTATGAACAACAGAAGGTAGAGGAAACAGAAGAGAAGTAAATCCTTTCACTTGCAGGAGCAATGATACATTTCTATGTTTTCCCTGAACCAAATATGGAATGCCTTGTTTTCATTTGTCATTACACTATCGTGCATGGTAGCACATATGCTTCATCATTTCTTTTCCATAATTGACAACTTTTAATGGTTTCTTATGGACATTGATGGGTAATATTTCACAGAATGGATACCAAGGGCTTCAGTATCTGCTGGTTGTCCTTTCATCTTCTTTGCAATTGTTATTGTTTTCTTTTGGATCTTAACGGTATTCTCTGCCAAGTTGAATTAAGGATATATGACAAATGTACCTTTGATTATGCAAGGTGTTAGATTCTATTTCCTTTTCTTTTATTCTTATCATTTCTTGGTGCAGCCTGCAAGTTTCTAGGCTTATTCTTCTTTAGGCAAACAACAACCACTTGTCTTAGCATTGAATCTTATTCTTTCTACTTGTTTAGTTTTGAGATCGCTCATTTTCTTCATTGTTCATTTATGATTAGTTTTGCAAACATAAGTTTATCATGTTAGAGGTCCTTAATCTTCACATGATAATCTAAAGGACGAAGTTTTTCCTCCAGACTATCTATTCCAACTAGCTGAGTGCTAGTACGATATATACTATAGAAACTGATAACCATTAGTTCAACCAGTTTGGGTACCTTGTTTTTCCCCCTTTTTAATGGTCTGTGTTGTTGTGCTAATGAAGTTCAGTTGCCCTTTCCTTGTGTGATATGGCTTAAATAACGCAACCAGGTCTTTGCTGGGTTTTTATGGCTGTCACTTGTCTGTTTACTGTGTATTATTGGCTTTGCAAAACATGAGCTCGGAATTGCGAGTCATTTAAAATGCTTTTGATGTTGTAATAGTTGTTCGTTTAGAGACTTCGTAAAATCTCTCATATTTTCCTTAAGAGGCAGAATTAATTTATTGGGCAGAGATGATATGCGTCTGATTCGACAAAGCCGGTTTGCCACCGTTTGCTAAATGGCCAGCTTTTGAACTCAAATGGGAAGGGGCGTATGCATTATGTTCAAATTTCGCTTGAGGTATTCTGATCTGTATGCAAAATGGTGATTCTTATGCTGCGAGAGGAATTAAATTCTCTACTAATGATGAAGGTTGTTCTGCTTAGTAATCTCTTGCCAATAGTTCAACAAGGCTCAAGGAGTCAGAATCAGAATGTAAGGTAAAAGCCGAAAGTGGGATCCTATTTCCCTTTGCGCCAAAGCATGTTGAGACAAGTATTAAACTTAGTACGAAAGCGCGACAAATTTCGGATTGATGGCTAGCTAAATTAATTTGCATGGCGTGATTAACTAGTAATCTTTCGCCAAAGTCAAGAAAGCTGGAAGGGGGAGGGGGGGGGGCGGGGAGAATACTGTGATTTAAGCTCTTCGTTTATTGTTGGAAGAAGGCACTGTTATGTGAACCGTTGTGGTTATTTGATATGGAAACTGTGTTCGTTTAAGAATCATATTATTTGTTGGAAGATTTTTTTTTTGTGGAAATAATGGTGTAGCATTTTTAAAATATGATATATGTGAGATAAATAAGACAATTGTAAAAATAAAAAAGGTAATTGAGAAACATATTATGTAACAACAATTTTTCTATAAAGAAATCTCAATCCAAACAGACCGCATTTACCAATTTTTTTCCTTGCTAGGCAAGTGAAATGGAAACCAGTTACCCATACATACATGTTTAAGAAAAAGAAACTTACACCAATGAAATAAAAAAAAAAACTTAAAATGTTTGATGTGAAAGAGGGGTAATGTATAATTACTGCCTTGAGAACTTCTGTCTGAAACTACCATTAAAAAGGGACTAAATCCCTCTTTGAACTTTATGTTGGGGGTTTGAATTCTACTTGCAGTGAAAAAAATCCAAAGGAGGTGTCAACGCATTCCTTTGATCTAGTCAGATCTGTGTATAACTCTGTCTAAAATATCTTCCAAGTTTCGATTTCACTATCCAGTACGAACGACGTCGTTGGGATAAAATAGTGTTTGGATTGATATGTTTTGAAATAAAATAATTTACTTTACAAATTTCAATCATCTTTTTATTTCATATACATCACATTATAAAAAGTGCTATAGTAATTATCTCAAATAAATCATCCAAATAAACTCCTTTTCAAACAAACAAGGCCCAATTGGTTTCACTATCCACATTCATGTACGTCGTTGCAGTCAAAATATTACCCTTCCCAACGTCTACCACCTTCAGGTAGAACTCCTTTTATACTGCAATATTTTACAGGGCCTTGTGTCGATGGAGTAATAGAAGAAAATCTTCTAATTCTTTACTCCAAACGGTTTGGAAAATGCCAATCCAGAGTAGCTGAGGAATCCCACTCTCTGAAACAAAAATTTGATCAATTAAACCCTTCTAAAAGAAGAAGTATGTATATATCAGAATTCTGGCTTGCTTTTCTCCACTAAATTTTTTTTCCTATGGTTGCGTTTTAATCTTTTTGAGGTATGTATATATCCCTTAAAAGTACTCATGATTTGCCATCAAATTATGGACTCTACCGTTTGCAAGGTTCTTTGAAGCTTCAGATTTGCATTTTTTTTTTTTCAGAAAGAATGATAGTAATTTTTTTTTGTTTTTTTACCCCGCATGAAAGTAAAACTTGAAATCTGGATAAAGGGGAAGCCGAAAGACGGTAGAATTTTGACAAAAACAAAAGGAAAAGACAGGATAGAAAAGGTAAGCCACGTCAACAAGTTCTAGATTAAGACGCCGTCGTTTTGTTCGAGGCAGGAGACTTGGACAGATATGCCGTTGGACAGAGGATCCCGAGTCCCGAGTCCCGACCATTAATTACTTGCCGTTTTCTTTTTCCTTTAAATTTTATATGGTGTTTTTCAGTTCTTTGCCTGTTTAAATGCACCTAATGACCAGAAAGTTTGAGCATTAAAGATTTTCTTTGGAGAAAATCAACGGAAAAAAAAAAGCTTGAAATGTTGATGCTCACCTGAAAGTATGTAAATTCTAATATTTGAAAACGGCTTTTATAAGTATTTCCTTTTAACAAAATAGTAGTGAAAATCCATGATACGTATGGACGGTGAAATTTAGTCTGGGTTCCATAATTTCGCAGTCTCCATCGAACACCCTTGGAAGCCTTTTCTAAGCCATCCCGCAAGGCGCAAAATTCGGATTTTGAGGTACTCTCCACTACCCTTCTTTTCTCAAACTTTTTGCCTGATCGTAGCCGACAACTTGAAGCGGCATTTGCATCAATGCTTTTGTATTCGGAGCAGGCCATGGATGTTTACGTTGATAGCCTCTACGTGCTTGATAAAATGCCTAAGACAAGTACTCGAGTAGATTTAGTTGAGAATGAGCATTTAAGGTAAAAGACAAAAAGGGATTTCTACATCAATCATCATCTTGTAATTTGATTCAATGTGTACTATATTTCTCTGGAGTCATTGCCTGGGAATTCTGTGTTTGTTTTCCTCTCTCAGCTGTTAAGTCTGTCACACCCTGGGTGTTGCTGTTTCTTATTCCTAAATGATTTCAATAGTTTCTTTAATTTTATTGCTCATTTTCCTTCTCTAGTGAGAAAGTTTTCTAATAAGAACTTCTCATGTTTCTGTTTGGTAGATATTCCTACTGTAATGGCATCTTCTGCTGCATTTTCTACATATGCATTGCATGGAAGTAAGCTTGCTTCGCGGACAATGTGGGCCAATACTTTTAATGAGCATACTTACAGTTGTTCAATCCTGCAATTAAAGCAATCAATTTGTGGTAAGCCTAGTTCCTTGTCGGTCGAAATTCCTTTTGAACTGCAACCAAATGGAAGGTTAGTCTCCAAGAATAGAATCATATGCAGTGCATTCAAGGTTGAGAATACACCATCAGTCATGGTTGGGAATAAGTTTCAACTTGAGGATGTCATTGAGGCTCAGCAATTTGACAGAGAGACACTGAATGCAATATTTGAAGTGGCACGTGAGATGGAGTTGGTTGAGAAGAATACTCCTGGAAGTCAACTTCTTAAAGGGTATCTAATGGCCACACTTTTTTATGAGCCCTCAACTAGGACTAGGCTGTCATTTGAGTCTGCCATGAAGCGTTTGGGTGGGGAGGTTCTGACGACAGAAAATGCACGCGAGTTCTCATCAGCAGCAAAAGGCGAGACACTTGAAGGTAGTCATTTTCCAAACCCCTGACAAGTGGTTTTGTTGTTTCCATTGTAAGTTGGGCTTTTTATATGCAGATACTATAAGGACAGTTGAAGGTTACTCAGACATAATTGTGATGAGACACTTTGAAAGTGGTGCTGCCAGAAGAGCAGCAACAACAGCCAGCATTCCCATTATTAATGCTGGAGATGGTCCCGGACAGCATCCAACTCAGGTTTTCTGCTACGTTTAATTTAATCCTGATAATTCTTTCGAGATTCTGCTCTGCTTTGCTGGTTATGGTTTGTCCATAATGTTACTCATCTCCATTTGTCACAAGTATCTCAAAAGTTGTGAATTAGTAGCATGCATTTCTGCGATACGGAGTGTTATCTTGATTCTGGATGGGATGTGGTTTTGGAGGGATTAAAAGTACTTCCACTGCAATTCTCATCCAACTTCCAAATATTAATGATTATGTGGAATGTCTCAAGCATCTAAATAAGATCTTTCCATGTTTCCATTGATTTTTTCTGGGGCAATACATTCATGTTTTGGTTTCTTTGCAATAATGTTTTGTCAATAATTTCTATCACATGTTGCAACACAGGCCCTTCTTGATGTATACACCATTGAAAGAGAGATTGGAAAGCTCGATGGAATTAAAGTCGGACTAGTTGGAGATCTTGCCTATGGAAGAACAGTTCGATCACTTGCTCATTTACTAGCCAAGTACCATGATGTGAAAATCTACTTTGTGTCACCTGATGTTGTAAGAATGAAGGTACGGTGTAGTATTTTTCAAAATTTGGTTTTTTCTTCTGCTTTTGCATCCTCAAAGCAATTCCAATAAACTTAATTTGTTGATTTAGAGAGGCTGGGAGTCATGCTCCTCCTGCTTTCTGCTAATAATTTGGACGCTTAATTACATGTGAAACAGAGGATTGCCACTCAGCAATTTCTTTTCAACTGTATTTTCAGAATGACATAAAGGATTATCTGACATCTATGGGGATTGAATGGGAAGAAAGTGCAGATTTAATGGATGTTGCTTCTAAATGTGACGTCATTTATCAAACCCGAATCCAACGAGAAAGATTTGGAGAAAGGATTGATCTTTATGAAGAAGCTAGAGGCAAGTATATTGTTAACCAGGACGTCTTAAATGTATTGCAAAAACATGCAGTAGTGATGCATCCTCTCCCAAGGCTTGACGAGGTAAGCTTGCCACCCGTACTAGCAGGATTTTAGGTGATACTTGGCATCCATAATTTTCCCTGATTACCAGCTGTTTTCCTTCACTCTGTAATATAGATAACGGTGGATGTGGACAAAGATCCAAGAGCTGCCTACTTCAGACAAGCGAAGAATGGTCTCTACATTAGAATGGCTCTTTTAAAGCTTTTACTTCTTGGTTGGTAGAAGACGGCCATGGGTTTTCTTTCCGACAGTAGCCAGTGGTGCTTGCTTCTATGTGGAGCAGCTAGGTTTCACTTTTAAGAGGCTTTTTGGCTAATTTTCCTTTGACGATTGATATGAGCACAAAATTCATACTTGCTGCCGAGTTGTACCTTACTTTGGCACACATTGATGGCTAACTTTTGCTGCATTTTCCGATTCTAATCAATGATGATGTGCCCGAGAAATGAAAAACCCTCAGTTCTGCATGATGAAATCGATATATTTGGCTACTATTTGCCAAATCCTTGCGATTTGCACTCTTTGCTCCAACTTTCCCCACGTTGCTTGCAGTTTATATCATTTTTCATGGCGTTGCTTAATCTGTAACAAAACATACGTCCATCCAGAATAGGAAGATTGAAAATTCTCTATTCAAGTAGTAGTAGTAGCAGTAGTAATAATACAAGATGGTCATCCATTTTCAACGGAGTTGAAAATAAGATAAAAGCAATTATTTCTTTCAGCACTGTGTATGAAAAGATCTGCAGTTTATCTCGCAAATATTACATACAAAAAGCCATTTCACCTAGTGTTTCAGAACAAGAACAAACCAAACATCCATGCAATCAAAGACTGGACCATATAGCACTTTAAATACTACATTAATTAAGAACAAAATCCTAGAATCAAACGTCTAGGCATAACACAAAAAGGGTTCTGACTGATCACTTGACTTCTTTTTCATGTATACAAAAGCCTTGGAAAACTGCAAAGACTTGATTATTTCTCCACGGGATCACTCTCATCACCCGTCTTGTGGATGTTTCCCCTACCAGGAGGCTTCTTGAAACTTTCTTTCACAGTTTCAAAACTGGTGTCACCAGCCATGGTTTCTTGAAACGCATCAGCTTCCTTTTCTACGGTCTGACTAGTTGTTCCCTGGCGAGCTTTTTCTTCCGCCACCCGTCTGAACTCTTCAGCCGTCGAAGCTGCTCTCTCCGCTGGACGGCCATCTCGGTGGTGGTCTGGTTTCTTTTTTGAACCATTTTCTTTCTGTCCCTGCTTGCTAAGTTGGCTATACATCTGGTCACCATCACCAGACAAACCAAGTCTTAGGTAAACTGCAAACACTAAAACACTTAACAAAGGAAAAAAAAGGCATGAACAGGAAGGAATTAGATGATTACTTGTACCCTGAAGGTAATGGGTTTGACAGGTAGATATCTGATTCGGCAAGTCTGTGACAAGTTATAGAATTGCAGAAGTTTGCCTCCCATACTGAATTCGAGCAGTGATGAAGAAAGAGAATTGTTGGTTTACACAAATCCTGATTACTCTTTTGTCTCGGTGATCCTAAAGCACCAGAAGAATTGAAAATAATGAGAAAGAAATTGAATTGGCTATGTACCTTTTCATCACTTGCTAAGGCCAGCAAGTCACTGGTGCAAAGCTTATAGCTTGGAGACAGTAGTCTGCCACGTGGCAGGCAGCAAAAATATTTAAGGATAATTGCAGAAACCTCCCCCCAGGTTTCTAATAGTTGCACTCATCTCTTCTAAGGTTTGTAAATAGCACTAACTCCCCTGAACTTAAGATTTTGATGGCAACTTTAGCCCATGTTAGAGAAAGTGTCATTAAAAAAAATCTTTTGAAAAGTGAGATAATAATTTTGTTTCATTTGTACTCGTTTTGCCTCTTGCAAGGTTGTATTAGTAAAAGAATGAAAAACATTAAAGATGAGAACAATTAGTGAAACTTAGAGGATATATGTGCAAAAAGAATAATGGCAGCAGTAAAAGCTACAAGAAGTAACAAACATGTGTTCAAAAATCTGATATTCTAAAGCATATAAAGAAACTATTGATCAATCAAGAAAATTCATCTTTGATCAGTACAAGAGAGTTTTTTATTGTCATGCTAATCCTTATAGTATGAGTAAATCTTTCCTACACTGACAATGTATATACTATCAGCATTGGATGAATGACAACTATGCAAAATTTGAAAAGATTAATCCTTATAGTATATTGATTTTACACTATTTACTATATTTCGTACATAGCTATGCTCTCTCGTGATCAACACAACAATTTTATCATACTATAACTAACACCACAATTTTGTGTATTAAATTGAGATGATAAAAAATTACTTACCTATCATCTTCTGATTGTCACAAATTTTTAACAGAAAAATCCTCAGATTTTGCCTTGATTTCTACTTTCTTTCTTCTTTTGTTTCATGAATGCATGAGATGAAATAAATCCAACCAAAACCACCAAAACTTATTCTTCTATGAAGCCTTCTTTGGAGGTTTATTTCTCCTACATATTTCTTGCTTCTGCTTCTCTTCTATGTAGAAAATATATTATTTGAATTGTTCTCTCAAGTGTTGTCAATCATAAAATGACACTATGTTGGATCATCAATTGGTGCCATTTTGTAAGTGCACTTATAGTGCTTAATAAAGTAAATGTTAATTTTGTTTAATTAGCTATCTTAGACTTGTTTATTACTCTAATTTTTTTGCCCCAAATTTATTTACTAACAAATGTTAAATTCTTAGGATACAGAGGTAAATTTATCATATCTTATGTCAACTATATATGCCCCAAATTCATGTTAGAGGAGGTTAGTGTTATTTTTCAAACCTTAAGAGTGGTGAGTACAACTGTTGGAAATCTCACGAGAGGTTTCTGCAATTATCCCAAATAACAATCACAAACGCAGCCTCAATTACGTATACTGAGTAGTACGCAATGTGATAGCCTGGAAAGGTGCCGAAGGAAGGATAAGCATCAGGTGGCATGTCACTTGATCATGCATCATCTTTGTTTGGTGCTCACTGAACGAGAATGATTTACCTTACTACTTCGTAGCTTTTGATGGGTAAATTACGTAATGTATATATCCTAGCTATTATGTACATGTTTGAAAAATGTTATTTACATTTTATTTTTTATTATTTGTACTTTCACCATTTATTTTATCATATAATCTAATAAATAAAATTTATATGATTAATATGATAGCGGGTGTCTGATTAACAAAAAATGGAAGTATAAATAACTTTTTTTTATATTTTTTATTATATATCAACTATTTTAATCAACTGCTGGTTCCAATTATACTGACATATCTTGTGTTACGGATATTGGACATATATTAGTGAAGAAAATTATTATTCACAAATTAAAAATTTGAATTGAAGGGAGGGATTTAAGTTTAAATCTTGTATCTCACAATTAGAGATGAAAATTAAAAAGGTTGCGAAGAATGGTGGATGGTTACTTCAAGAAAAAAAAAAAAAAAAGGAATGGTGGATGGTAGGATAAAAAAAGAAAAAGTAAGTATTTGAGTTCTAGTCCGACCTATAACCTATCTCAGTCAGGTGGGACCAAGACCTTTCAGTAGTGAGCCCATTTTCTCTCAAGAGTCGAGTTTTCAAACTTTTCATTGTAGCCGGAATACAAACCTCACCCGTCTTCTGCTCCAACCGAAACTCCCAGGACTCGGAAACCACTTGGGTAACATCATTTGTACTTCTCTTCTTGCCCTTTTATTAATCCGGATGTTCAAGAGTAATTACATCATATATAGCAGCATTCGCAATGCACTAATAAATTTGTGCGCTTCTCTTACTTTGTAAACATGGGGTGTGAATAAAAATTGAGTCTTTGTGCTTAGCCGAATAAACTTGTTTGATTGGGGATTTTGGTGAAACGGATATTCTGGATTATAGAGTTTTTCTCTTTTTTTTGTTAAATTTTTTTATCAAGTTACTAGGTTTAGAAATTTGGGGAATTAAACTTTTTCCAGTCTCATTTGGATTTTATTTGGTTTACGTCAAGTTTAAAGTGATTGGCACTTGGATTTAGCTACAGCTGAAAAACATAATCATGCTATTCAATTGTCAATACTAGACTGGAGCTCTGTTCAATGAGAATATGTTCTAAATTGATTCGTCAAGTAATCAAATCTAACGCGAGCAAGATTTCTTGCTCCTTTTTAATTATTTAAGCTCAGGCTCAGCTTGACAAGGATAACACTTGAGAATTTGCATATAGAAGAACCAAGCAAAGCTTTTCTGCAAAATTATGCTCATGAAAAATTAATCCAAGCTTTAACATTGTGTCCAACTGATTAGGCTCATGAACACCCTAGAGTTACTAGCACATTAATTTGCTTGTCAGTTTCAAATGTCAAAGCAGTTTCTTTTTTGTTAACCACTTCGGTAACAAATTCTTTCTCGCTTTGCCTGTTTGGCTAGCAGATTATTGTTGAGTGCTAGGTTTAATAAGATAATTTATGTTATGACCTGCCAAGTTACAGCCACACTCAGTTACTGATCAATCTGGAAACTGGACAGCAGTGCTCAACCAGGAAGAAATGAGCGCTTTCAAGGCTTTTAAAGCTTGCGTGCCGATTGAATGGAGTGATAAGCTCTACATAACCCTTGTTAGGGGTATCCCTGGAACCAGGGAGCTCCATAGGCGGACATTAGAGGCGCTGCGCCTTCGCAAATGCAACCGCACAGTTGTGCGAAAAAATACTCCTACAGTTCGTGGAATGCTTCAGCAGGTTCTGAAATTAGCTTGATCCAACTGCATATTTGTCTTATGTGGTCATACTCTGGTTTGGCAACTGACAATTCTTCAATAAGATTGCAAATAGTCATTACTATTCTTTCTGTTATGTGTATTGGTTCATATCAGGTAAAACGATTGGTTGCAATTGAGACAAAGGAAATGCACGAGGCTCGGAAACGAAGAGAGGCTAATCACAGAGCTCTGCGACCACCGTTGGTTATTAGTCATCATCCAGCCCCAAAGACTGAATCCTTTCAGTTATCTTAGAGATTCTTCGAGGCATGCTTCTTTTATTTTTCTGCTTTAATCTCTCTACATACAAGTGAACACAGACACAGAAGCACACTTTTGAAGGTAGATAAAGCATTAATAACGTGTCTACAGGTAAAATGGTGATGTGTTTTGCGGTTGGTGAGGGTAGTGCTGGACCTTTTTTCTCTACAAATTATATCAGGATGATGTTTGTAAAATTTCAGGTTAGATGAGATAAGTGGGGATGACGATGAACAGAAGAAATCGTATTGATTTGAGAAATAGATTGAAGATTGTCTCCTGCAGCTAGATTGTCATTGCAAATTGTCTTATTTAAAATGTGACGCAAAGCAATAGAATTGTCTGGCTTGAAACATGACGTAGTGACCAAAACAGGATATCGAATTTGGGAGGAAGGAAAGAGGGCTGGATACAAGGCTCGTGTATAAGATTCTATGCTTCATTGTGCTGTTTTCATTTCTTTATCCGATGTAGTTGAACGTGCAATTGTTTATTTGCTGTCTTATCCATTAGTGTAATTCTCTGGTTTGGTCCTTCCATTTATGTAATGTTCTCTGTTCTGCAGATACATAGCATAGTACTGATTGTGATTCAGATCTTTGAAGAACAGAAGTTTCATTAGTGGCCGAACTTGTGTTAAAGCTTGTAATCTCCTGGCGGATGAATAAAATTTGAAGTGTTGCAAATTTAGTTCAGACTGCAGAGACATAGGCAGTTAATGCTTTTTTCATGAGAGGTTTTTTCTTTTGGAATGAGATCATAGATTAGTGGACTAAACCGTCGGATTTATTTGGCACTCATGTTTGTAGAAAACCGTTTTACACCATAAACCATTAGTATTATTTAGAATATGTTGTGGTATTAGAAAAAAAGAAAGAAAGAAAAGAAAAAGTGGAAGATACTTGCCTTCACATGTGTCCAAGCATTACTAATATCTAGTGGAGGAACTAATGGAAGAATCAAAGCTAGTGCTTCATTCTTAGTTGGCTGAGAGAAAACAAGAAAGGAAAACAAACCACGTTCCATTCACTTCCTCTGTTGGCTAAAACCGAGAAACAACAAGGAAAAACAGAAAACCTCTCTTACCTTCTCCAACCTTGAACACCAGCCAAGAAACAAGAGCAACTCCAGCTCATTTAACCAAGGAATCGAGAGAGAGAAACAAAAGAAAACCAGAAATGTTATATTTTTGCTCATGTCTGGTGTATGTTAATCGTTGGATGCATCAGCTTATATAGAAAACCCTGTTTGTTGAACGGGCTTTAAATCTGGTCAAATTTCTGAGAAAGTTGAAGGTGGTGAATGACGATTTAGAAATGATACCAGTAATCTTGAGTAGTTATCTGGTTACTTAGCCCTTTTCTTTTTTTTCTTTTTTTTTTCTAAAGCTGGTAAAAGGAAGTTCATGCTTGTCTTTAACTTTTGAGATTGTTCTAATGCTTCAGAATTGTTGGGTAGTGGTAGAAATTGAAGGTGGTGAATTGCAAGTGGAACCCATTGTATTCGAGTAGCCCTTTGCTCAAAGTATAGCATAGAAAATGATAATGATCTCCAAGTCAAATTGGAGGAAAATACAAGGATGTTGAACACCAAAATTTCACACAAGATTTGTCACTCTTTTCTTTTTTTCCTATATCATTTGGTTTTTTTTCAAATCTGCAAAGATTATTTGAGGTGGGATAACGGCACCTTGATTGTCTTTTGACTCCTCTACTGTACATGGGCTCTAGCTTGAAGCAATTAACGGAGGATCAAAAACGTGACTAGTATTCTTCTGTTCTAATGCATGCAGGTTAGCAAAAACTCCAACAAGAGGCGCAGCATTATAAGTGCAGGCTTCTGTCTGCACATAATTTTCCCTACCATCTCTAAATTGGTCCTTAATATCTGGTCCACCTACCAGTGCTCCCACCAGGACATTAGGATTTGATTCCTGGCGTCCATACCAGTTATCATAACCTTGTGTGCATCCGATAAATCCCTTGTTATTCCTATAAGACTCCATGGATGCTCCTCTGTGATGCACCCTCTGGGGGTACCTTGAACCGTAGCCAACCAAGTAGCTGATGGCCATCGGATTAGAGCCTAAGATGTAATCAACCTGTGATTTCGCGAAGGATGATATATCATCTGGACCCACTAAGACTCCTCCGTGGCAATTGAGCTTTTGATTGGCAGCTCGGAGATGATCAGAGTAGGCCATAAGCAAAAATGCTGCAGATGAAACATACTGCATGTTGTTCCATTGGCGGATGTAGATGAGGCCGCCTGGGGTGCGACGTATATTGGTTGTATTGTTCTTGTTCAGGCAGGCACAGATGTAGTATTCTGCTTTGAAGCGGTATTCTTGGAGAATCTGACTGTGTTCTTCATGCTTTTTTTTCATTCCCAGCTGCATGAAAGGAAACGTATGGATAAATTGTAGAAAAGCCATTAAACAGGGAAAAGTATTTTCAATTTTATTCAAGTATTGATTTGTTGTTGTATTTAGTGCTGCCTAGTGCATAAATCACAATCCCCATCAAGCTTCATCAGTTTCAAAAAGGAAAATAATTTCTAATTTTTACCTTCAATGCAGTATTGAATGTATGGGATGAATCCCATTTGCTTTTCCTTCTGACCGACCCAGTCTGGGATACAAATAGGGCCATTAGCAAGTCGACCCCGTTATCATTATACTGAGGGTCCGTTTGTTTCGACGCAAAATGTTTTCCATGAGAAAATATTTTCAGCGAAAGACATTTTTCATGAAAATATTTTTCTGATGTTTGGTTAATTTTTAAAATATCATTTCGACAAAATATTTGCAAGTAGAGCTGCAAACGAGTCGAGTTGAGTTTTGATCTAATCGAGCCAAGTCTTGACTTAATTTTAATGAACTCGAACTCGAGCTCGAGCTCGACAAGCCGACAATTTAAAGCTCAAGCTCCAATCAATTATTTTATTTTTTAAAAAATAAATAAAATAATATTTTTTCTTAATAAATAATAAAATATTAAGAATATATATGTAATTTTACTATTAAAATAAAAATATATATATATATTTAAAATAAAAAATAAAAAATATATATATACTTAAAATAAAAAATAAAAAATAAATATATATATACTTAAAATAAAAAAATAATATATATTCGAGCTGAGCTTAATATCTTGAACTCGAATTCGATCTTGACTCATGAGCGGCTCAGTTCGTTTGCAGCTCTATCTGCAAGTACTCTGCTCTACGTTGTCTATCATTCTTAAAGGCATAAACTGATTCTTTTCCAAACTAGAAAGCAAGGTTCCATAAGAATATGCAATGGTAATACGAATAGGCAGTTTGAAATATTAGGTTCATAACTCATGGCAAGTGGAAAAAATAACTTCTAAAGATCTATTGTGTAAGTGGTTTTCCACTAGAGGATGCAAATCATTTTCCCAAAAAAAAAGGTTTTCAGTGGTCTAATTGCTCAGTGGTCTAATTGCATCCAAACACTGGAAAAGATTTTTCGGAAAATATTTTGCACTGAACCAAACGGACCCTAAGAACAGCTAATTCTTCCCCACCGTCATGGAATCTGTGCGAATCTTGTGCATGAATCTAACAATAATAATGTGACGTTTTAATTGCTTTCTTTCCTAATTCTGTCTTGCACTCAGTACCCCAATCTACTACTATTTGCCGCTCAAATAATGTGGTTGATAGCTGAGAAAGACATGAAATCTTTTGGATTATTGGATTCTGGAGGTCGGAGGGGTCATCCTTTTGTCCTTCCCAAATTATTCAACACCTAACAGTAAAATTAATGGCGGCGGATGGGCAGGTCTGCATACTGGGGCTGGAGGTACCACCATATCATCATCATCATTTTAATCAAATGATGATTTAACCACAGTGGTAGTATTTCCGATATATATGAAATGATATTCACCTGGGCTCTGTACGTAAAACCTTAAACTTTAAACTAAAGTGTGTTGGTTGATTTCTGAAATGAAAGCAAAAGAAACGATGCAGTGAAACACGAAATGGGAAAAAGGCAACTAAAAAGAGCCACAACTAAAGTGTGTTGGTCTTGGATGAGGCAGTGGAAAAAATGGGAAGAGGGAAAAGCAAGTTTACCATGGCAGCAATAACCTGGACACCAGCATACTTGACATCCCAGCTGAATTCTTGCATGGCCCAAGTGATCCCACCGAAAAATTGAGCCTTTCCAATTGCATAATTCAAATAATCTGCCCTGTCGGTGGCCTTGTACAGCCACAATGCTCCCCACAACAACTCATCCATGTAACCACTCACCGACGGATAGTACCCCTTCGCCGCTCCTATGCTGCTATCGTATTTCCCTCTATACTTGTCACCAAACTCAAACAACTGCGCAACAAATTTAATCAAACCTAAGTCTTTGATTAGCTGAACGGTACCTCCAAAAGAAATACTTATACTACCATTACTTATATTAATCAGACATTCTCCTTTAGTTCAGTTTGGTTGGTCGCTATCATCTGATGGCATGGCACAAAGATATTCTATTCAAGCAGTCTGAATTGAATTGAATTTGCGTGCGGGTATAGATTATAGTCTGAATTGTGTACGTAATTAGTTGAATCTAATCTAGTGAAGATCAATCAAACCCCACGTACCTATCCCTCTAACTAACAAGTTATAACAACCTCATTAACTATCTGAACTCAACTTACTTGTTGCGCATGATCCAAGAGAAGGTGGGAGTAACGAGGATTGGTTCTCCTGAACACAATGGATGCTGCCGCCATTGCAGCCGCCGTTTCTCCGGCGACGTCCGAACCCGGATGATCCTCGTCAATCTTGTGAGCTCTTCGGGACGTCGTCATGTCCTCCGGTCTTTGCCAACAGTAGTGATCCGTGTCCCCGTCACCCACCTGAAGGATCAACGTTAACTTGACATGCCTAGGACGAAAACAGTTTGTTTGCACAAATATTTGACCAGAAAAGATTTGGACCCACGCAAAAAATCTATGGTGTGAATGAATAAAATCACGTCTCCGGCGTGATTGGAGCAATTTCTTCGGGGCAGAATGCGGCGCGTGAGGGAACATTTGATATGACTTAGCATGTCTTGCTACATATAGACTTTAGACAAGTCCATAATTTTTTCAACATGGGCATAATTTCTTTGCTTAAAAAGAAAAACAGTTTGAAATTTGAATCGCTTGCTTCGTCGTCACTTATTTTTTAATAGTAATTGGGTGCAGTAAAAATGGGTATAAATTACCTGAACCCACAAGACATGAGGCTGAGAATGTGCTTTGATGAAATAGTCAGTCCCCCATTTGATTGCTTCAAGCGCGTGGCGATACTCGCCCGCGGCCGCAATCTCTTCCCCGTATTGTAGGACGCTCCAGGAAAGCATCGTAATGGTAAAGGCCATTGGCAAACCAAACTTAACGTTGTCCCCTGCATCATAGTAACCTCCTACCAAGTCCGCCTATTTTTTTTTTATATATATATATATACATGAAAAAAGTGTACAAGAAAATCTTAAGTAATGTTCCAATTACATGCTATACCGTATATGATCATAATAAGTAGAATGTGACGGAAGAAAAAAGAAGAAGAAGAAGAAGGTGAGATTGTGGTCGTACGAACCCCTTGTTCCAAACCGTCGGTGAGGCCAGAATGGTGTCGCCAAGGGACTCTCTGATTGTAAGGCAAGTGACCGGAACGTTGCGCTTCGAAATAAAGGAGGCTTTTTGAAAGAGCTTCTCTGTAACGGGAAAGGTTTGAAGATTCAGAGAAAGGGAGGAGGTGGAAGAAGGCAAAGATGGAGACTAGAGCGGCAGCCCATTGCCTCCTGGGAGCTTTGCATTTCCTTTCTTCCTCCATTACTCTCTCTCAGCTTTTGAGTCACTTCCACCTTTCCCTCTTCTTCTTCGCCTTCGTATGTACATCTGAGGCATGTGACTTCTTTAAAAGTTCGCTTGTGCCATTACGTGGCTTATGTCTCTAATTTTATTTTATTTTTTTTAGATTTTCGAATTTTAAATTTTCTCCATTTCTTTTTTCCCCTTTTTTACTCCATTTGGATTAGCTGTTTTTTTGGGTATTTTTGAAAATTTTACTGTAGTAGTGCATATGAACAAATTTTACTATAAAAATTTTTTGAAATATTTGATATATTATATGGATGAGATGTTTTTTGAATTATTATGTATTACTGTAACATTATATTTGAAAAACTTATTTTTAGAAAAATGGTTAATCCAAACAGAGTACTTCAAGAGGGTAACGAGAACAATCTTTTTGTCATAGCCTTTTGTTGGTTGTTTTTCGTAATTCGTTTGAATTATTATTTATTGGAGTTTTTGTAGAAAAAAATATTATAACGATTTAATGTATGTGAGATAAAAAAAAGTAATTAAAAAATATATTCAGGAAAAACATTAAAAAAAAAATTTTTTTGAAGAGAAATGGAATCCAAACAAGGAATTCTTATAGGAGGAGGGATGATCAATAGACTAGGACGTGCTGCCGTCCGTCAAATTATTGACTGTGAACTACTGAACAAGATCGTTATGCCCCCGGTCAACGGTCGTATGTATAGCATTACTTGAGGATCAGTAGTATATGCACTTGTTCCACCAACTCGTAACTGTGAATCTACTACCATGCGCGAGTAAGTATACCTATAATTCCCTAACCAGCTCTACTGCACTATTATTTCGATACATTTATTTTACACAAATACTCTATAATATATTATTAAGCAGTTTTCTTTTCCCAATCATAGGGATGTAGCATTTTTTTTTCTTTTTTGTCCCCATCTTTCTTCCATTCCTATTTCCTGTCCACCTTCTATTTTTTTTTTCTTCTTTTTTTTTTTTCTCTTTTCTCTTCAAAAAGGATTTTGTTCTTCTCCTGGCCTTAACTTGGCAATCCGCAGAAGGTCCTTTCTCGTCAATGAGAACGACTCTTGCGCTTGTTTGAGAGTTTAGACTTGAAAAAAAAAAACAAAAAAGGAAAAAAACGAAGAAGAAAAGAGACAAGATGACAACTTACAAGAGAGAAGAAAATAAGAGAAGTGAAAGACGTAGAAAAATTGAATGAAACCCTTATGAATGATTTGGATTAAATAGGCGTTACCATTTTGTTGTTTAAGACATTTCTATTTTACATATGTCGCATCACTATAGTATAATATTTTTTTTTATAACAACTTCCAATCCAAATGGAAGATGTAGATGGTGTTCCAAGGTTATGAAGCAGTCAAGATTGGTACTAAAACAAATATGCAAATGGTGTTCCCAGCAACTACATTCCATTGATACAATGAAGCCGGTACGAAGCAGAGTCGTTACTGCTCAAGAAAATGCTTATCCTAGAAGTCTGCAATGTAACCCCCACCCGAATCACAATAGCTGCGAAGGACTTTTTTGAGCCTTCAGAATTATTGACCTAGAAACCATTCTCCTCTAATAAATTGTCTCGTTCTGTACTTTACAGAACAGAACAGGGCTTCATTCCAATTACCATGACTAGTGTGGTCAGACGTCTTCATTCCAACAAATCTATGATGACAACCTATGATATGATGCTCAATTTACATCTTGCAATAGGACATTAGGTCGCTCAATTTACATCTCCTTCCCAGGACTGCAAGCAGTTAGTTTAGGTCGCTCAGTCTCCCAGAATCCGGTAACCATTGAAATTGTACCAACAACACCTTTGCTTTTGATCTAATAGCTAGCTTCCGGAGAAGCTTGCTGACGGAAATATGCATCTGCCCTCATCCCTAGAACAGGCGAACAAACGAGAAGAACATAATCACAAGTTAAAAACTGCACCATGCCAAGGGAAAACAACAACAACAACAACAAAAATGAAGAAAAATCTGAAACACTGATGAAAAAGCATCGAATCTAAAAGATAATTACCAAACGTGGTAACTATATGTCATAACGTCAAAAATCCAGAACAGCACCTCTAGCATCCATCATCAACTACTAATATATAGATACATATAAAAGCCCTCAAGGTTAAAAGTAACATCTCACTTTTTAATATTACAAATTTACAATATCATCAAGCCTTCCAGATTCCCCATCATATCAACGCTTAGGCAAAGGCACCTCCAGTCTGGTGCAGCATAGCATCAATCTCATCACCATCTTCCATACTCACCTGTGTACAAAATAAAATGTAAACAAAACTAAATGGATTGATTGCAAATTACATAACAGTAGTGTCTTGGAAAGACATCTTAAAAGGAAAGAAGGAAAAGTAACCTGCTCAGGAGTCTGCTCCCCTTGGAGGCGTTGGCCATCAAACAAGAATACCATGGAGCCCAGTTCCACAGATTGTCTCTCGCAGTAAGCATTAATGAGCTTCTTCAGCTGTGTGCTCCTCTTTATCCTGAAGAACACCTCGCTCCCATCCTACACAAACCACCGTCATCGACTACTTGTTCAACGGCCAAAAAAAATTAATGCAGATATTTTGATCATGTTAGCCAAGAGCTTAAATGCCAGCAGGAAATTGAAGCACCAAAACACCAAGTAATAAAGCGAAATTTAGCTTAGGAACCTTAACTCGAACATGGCACAGATCCATGTACAATAGTCCACAAACATTCGGAGAATAACACAAGAAAAATCAAATTCCTAAAAATAACTTAATTTTAGAAACATAGTACTACAAAACAAAAACGAAACCCTGACAAACATTTTACACGCGTTAACTGTTTAAGAAAGAAAATGGAAAACAAAGAAACCCCTTAAACGGAGTTATACCATGCTAGAAGACAGAGATTATGAAACATAAAACATTCAGAAAAATACAAAAGCCAAAATAATAGGAGACCTGTCCCTTGACTTTGAGGTTAATGTGTTGCTCAGAGGGCTTCTTATCTTCCTCTTGAGTAGTGACGCCTGACATTTTCCAGCTCCTCCTCCAATTACAGCCGCTGTTGACGCCGTTGAATTGGCCGCCGCTGATGTAGAAACTTCGGGGAGAAGCGGGCACTGCCAAATGTTGAAGTGAATTTTGGGTGAAATTGGGTTAATTGGACGGCTAAGATGTAGTGGGGCTGAACATGATCAATGGGCGAGATTGGTTATCTAAAAAGGTTTGTACTGTCGCATGACATTTCGACTGTTCACGGGGAATCAAAATGTGCATAGGGCCCTGGCCCGTGTAAGATGCTATTTGGACTTAATCATCATATCAACTGGCCCAAGTAGGATGTGTCGTTTCTCCAAGAAAAGCAATCATCATATCAACTGGCCCAATTAGGATGTGTCGGTGCGCCACGAAAAGCCCAATTTCTTAGAATCTCCGCACGAATTCTTTTCAACTTCCCCAATGAGCTCTAACGTTCTTTGAAACATGTTGACTCAAGTAACAATTTTTTGTTGAAATCACACTAATGTAAATACCGAAGGGCTCTTTCATGCTGCAGTTACCTGGTTCGACTCTCAAATCCTATCGATTCCCCATTTTTCTTTATAATGCTTGAACTTTGCTCGTTAAACAAAAATAATTGTTTTAAAAAAACTCCTGCTCTTGTTCGTGATGGATTATTGTAGTTGATTATAGATTCTGCAGTTTTTAAAATGTTCTTGTTTGCGTTTGTATTAAAATATAAATTTCTTTTACGAACCAAAAAAGGCTAAAATCTATAGTCAATAAAAGATTAGCTTTTACTAATTCTAATTGTTCTCTAGTGTCAATTTTAGTAATTAATTTTTGCTATAACTAATCCAAAGGTGAACAAGGCTTTACTTAATGGACCAATTGTTGTCCACCCATGGGAGTTATCCGTAAGTATGGATTAAATTCTCAACACAAAAGCGTGCGTGTACTTGCGACAAGGCCCGTTAACCGTTACCTACTCCTCCTTCCCAACCCCAAAAGCGCAGAACTTCGATTGACTTTGCCACAAACACAAAAGGCATTGGTGATCATCCGCTCAATCAAAGTCACGCACGCTTTAGTAGTTAGCAATAGTTGAAAACCAACCATTCCTTTTTACCTGCCTATGCTTGCCAACCATGCCAGATTTCACCAAAAAGGGAAATTTTTTTGAAAAAAAATTCAAATCTTGGGTCCCATATGACAAATGAGTTTTTTTTTGGATGTTTATCTAAAATTTTACTATAACTTACTGTATAAATTGTAAAAAATATATATTTGAAATGTGTAAATTTTTGGATATTTTAAAGTATATATAGTTTAAATTTTTTGAAGTTTTTTTAAAAATAACTATTTTTAAAGTTGTTACAGGCAAATTTAATTAAAAACTTGTTTGCCAAACAGGTAAAAGATAGTAAACTAGTAGTAGCATAACCTGGCAGCATTAGGTGCAGCCGCTTATCGATATCCAAGAGCAATGCCGACCCATTGGGTTGTTAGCTTAGGCACTAAGTAGGCCGACATGCCTGAATTTCAATGAATCCCCCGCACACTAGCCACTGTCTTGTTTTGGTGGTTGATCAAATGATGATTGAAGGAGCAGAGGCCACAATCTCGGCCGACCTATCACCTACGTATTTGCACAAGTGTAGCTTTTTGTTATTCAATACTCAAAAAGGCTTACGCAAGAAAACGCATAAATATCAAAGCATACATCTACATCCTTATATTGATTTTCACTTTACCATGCACTCACAATCTAAAAAACTGATTGGCTATTTTTTTTCAAAAATAAATTTTTCAAATACAACACTACAGTAATGCACAAATAAAAATAAGTCAAAAAAATTTCATTCATATAATATATTAAATATTTAGAGTAAAAATTTTTCATATACGCTGTTACAGTAAAATTTTTCAAAAATATTCTCAAAAATAATTAATCCAGAAGGAGCGTTGTCCAACTTCTCTGGGATATGAGTTGCACCTACTATTCGGAAAGCATTCGAAGGTGACAAAAGGAATACGAATTTGTGTAGAAAGAAATACTGGCCAGGGAAAGGCCCACCAACTGATGGAGAGTTTAGACTTGATAGGATCATCACAGGACTACACGAATTGCTTCCTATGGCAAGTCGTGGAGTAATTCACCACACCACTTCTGGCGAAAGCATTAAACTGAAATCACATTTTCTCAACTGCCTCTACCGACTTTGGGATAAAGTGTGGTCAGACAACGCCAAAGGAAGAAAGGCAGGAGATTTTCTATAATCAATCACTTGATTCATTTAGGAGATGACTTCTAAGCTTAAAAGATAGAAAATGAGTTCCCTTTTTCGTGAAAATTCTACGGTTTTGGAGAGCCATGCTGACGGGATATCTTTATTTCAGGTCGAAAAGTGTTAAAATTGTAAATTATCTATCTCATCCGGATTTTGAGGTACAATAAAGAACAAGCATAATCTAATCATGTTTCTCCTGTCTGAGACAGTAATACACAATAAATTATGTTTTCCAAGAAAAACTCAATTGGTATAATGCACAATACAGACTAAACCGTAATTGCCTGATTGGCTGCTGGAGCCCTAACGCATTCCCATTCCCAATAATTATCAGTCTTGGTTGCATCCCGTTGTATATGAAGGACGAAAGCAACGGTTAAAACTGGAGACACAAGATTTGGCTTTGTCGAGATTTGGCCTGTTCTCATCCTTCTTCTCGGAATATGTTTTTGTATGTGATGAGTTACGTCTGATTGTCGGAATGGTTAGTAGTGATTAGTTTACCAATTACCACGTATGATCTTCAGGCTTTTGTTTGATAAAGTCCACGTAGGTTTTAGTAGTTGACGAAAACCTTGAAATCCCTGTTTTGGTGGATACAGACGCGCCTTAAACAAAGCAATGGTCCTCCTACGGTTTTTTATTCTTTTGGGTGGAGGCCTCGAGGTCCTCCTACGTTAGTCGTTAGTATCGTGTTTTCTGCTAATAAAAAGGGTCCATTACGTATTACTACATTCTCAACCAAACGACCTCAATCCTCATATAGTACCAACCGAGTGGCTTATTTTCTGGAATTGATCGAACAGGTCTACTTGTTTCCCTCTATCTGGCTCGTGTTCTTCTTGCTATCGTGTTTAGATTGCATTTTTTAGAGTTTCTGTAATAAAAAATGTATTGTAGCGATTTGATATATGTGAGGTAAAAAGATGATTGAAATATGTGTTCACGAAAAGTGTGAAATTTTTTTTGATGAAGAATCCCTTTCCAAGGATAGAGATTAGGGGTGCAATCAAGTCAAGTCGCTCGCGAGTAGCTTTGACCGAGACCGAGCTCGAGCTCGATCTACTTGTTACATTCAACAAGTCGAGTTCGAGCTCCAAAAATAAATATTCGAGTGCTCGACAAGCTTAATCGAGTTTTCATATTATATTTATATTATATATTTTGAGAAAAAATTTATAGGTTTAATTAAAACTCGATCTCGAACTCAAGTAAATCGGGTTTGATATTTACTCGAGCTCAAACGAGTCGAGTTCGAGTTTAATTTTATTTTATCGAGTCGAGCTCGAGTCTAAATTTATTTACTCGTTCGAGTTCAAGTTCGAGCTCGAGTAGCACTGACTGTGATCGAGTTCGAGTTTGAATATGGTGCTACTCAAACTCGATAACACCCCCTAGTAAAGATTTGTTATTCCCTCGAAGCAATGACTTGATGGAGACGTATGTACAACTTGAAATATGAAAGCAAGGAAAAACGGAGCAATAGCAGTAGGATTATGATTTCGGGGCACCACTAGCATATGCCACTTTTCTCACTCTGAATTGTAGCTTATAATTCGTCTTGAATGTCACTAATAGCATTCATATTCATCAAAGTACAGTCAAGAGTTCGATAACTTAACATGCTAAATCTCCGAGGCTGCAGACTCTGACTTAATTTCCCGTGCGACAGATTTTGGGCCGTTACGCAATTAGAAAAATGGTAGCGCGGCGCCTCCATCCGTACAGTGACATGACCTGACCTGGGCCAGCATCAACTGAAGTTATAATAAGACTCTCTTGCGAAACGCCAATCACAGCTGGCAAGTGATCGAGTCCAACGTTCATATTTGGTGAAATCAGATAATTTCAACAAGATCATCATGAATTGCCATTTTGTCCATAAGGTGGAAACCATACAACTATAGGTTGTAAGCATGTACATTAATCAGGAAGGAAGTAGGCCAACAAGATTGCGACATTTTACCCAATATCATACTTTTCTTTGACCCGGCACCGTTATTTTTACCCAATATATTTTTTTGTCTGGAAAAGTTAGGGGAGCTCAAAATAGCAGCGACAGAGAATTTGTGGGTGACACCAGCCTCGACTCCACACGTCCACTTGGGCACCACATAATCTTACCAATTCATACTTCCAAGGTAACTAAGTACTCTTTGTAAACTACCACTGACCAATAAACTTTTGAAATCGTTTTCCAAATTTGAGAACTTAAACGAAGGTGAGTTCCAAGGTAAGGCAATGTAAGAGTTTCTTTTTTTTTTTCTCTTTCCAATTCTGATTTTTCGTTGTAAAATTTGCAACTTGACAGTGTGCTTACATTCGGGCAATTTCATGGGGTAAGGCCATCATGTTGGTTTTTACAATTTGGATGAGATCAATCATCAATTAATTGCCACGTGCCCAATATTCCACCTGCCTTTCTTATCATCTTTACGTTCCCACACACACTTCCCCACTAACTCCACGATCCTTTTATTTTACCTGAATTCCCCCCGCCCAAATATACCACAACGGTAAGTAAACTTAGCAAGTTCCATGCACTTCTATCTATAAAACCACCATAGAACTAGAACCAAATACTTGTAACACCGAAAAGAAATCTCCCCTTAGATTCTTTCCTCGATGCTCTGCGTACCAAAGATCCAGAGCATCATGGCAACTCCCTCCGCCCCGCACCTCCTCCTCCTCCTCCTCCTCCTCTCCCTCATCTCCCTCTCTTCCCTCCCCTCCACCCTCTCCGCCGGCGGCTCCATTGCCATCAACTACGGCCGTGTTGCCAACGACCTCCCATCCCCGCCCCAAGTCGTCCAGCTTCTCAAAGCCCAAGGCCTCACTAAAGTCAAGCTCTACGACACAGAC